TTTATATGTCACAAACCAAAAAACAAAATTGGAAAGACTATTTAGCAAAGACCCTATATGTTACATTACAATAAAAGTGTTAGAAGCAACTTCATCTTTGTCTTCTTTTATCCCCTCTGAGATGACCAAAGTTGTGTTGTTACAGGTGTCAGTGTCACTGGAAGATGTGACAGTAGACTTCAGCAGGGGGGATGGCTGCATTTTGACCTTGCACAGAGACATCTGTTCTGGGATGTGACACTGGAGAACTATTGCCACTTGCTCTCTGTAGGTAAGCACAAGTGCCTTATGCATGTGCCAGGGCTTTCTAAGTGATTTCCATGCTCAGCTGTTCAGCAAAATGGGAGATCTAAATTGTGTCACAATGTCATCCTTGATATGGCTAAGAATTTTCAGTCCCTTTCAACTCTGTGATTATTTTTACATTCCCAATGAAACATGGAGCCCTTCCCAAAGAACAAATGGAATGTGTCATTGAAAGACCCCAAAACCTTGTCTACTTGGCCCAATCTTGTTTCATATCCTGTTAATAGAGTATCAAGTCCCCAAAGCAGAAGCCATCTTCATGTTGAAGCAAGGAGAGGGCTTATAGCCATTGGCAGGGAAGCTACATATGAGAGCTAACTAAATGACATACCATCCTTGTTTTCACCCTTTGTTACTAGGGATTGAAACAAGTGCCTCTATACTGAACCATATTCCATGCCCATTTTTTTTGATCCACTGAGTCACTAATTGTTGCTGAGTCACTAATTTATTCAAGCTGGGCTCAAATATATGGCTTTCCAGCCTCAGCCTCCCAGAGTGCTTATAGACTACAGAGCAGTTAATTTACACATAAAATTTCCTTTCTGGGGTGTGAGGGCTTTTCAAGGATATATGGACTGAGAGTCTGCCTAATTGTTCAGTATCCGTAGCCTCATTGTTCTTTCTTCTTTTCAGCACTAGGGAAGGAATCTAGGGCCTCACCTATGTCAAGTGTGTTATATCAACGTGCTACCAGCCTTCATCCTTTGCCTCAGTACTGCCATAATATTCTCAGATCATCTGCCCTAATCTTGACTCCCAGGAGTAATGTACATGGGCTCTTTCTTTCCTAGTGTTTCCACTAACAATTAGCAGTACCGATGTTTCTCAGTTTGGGGCCAACAATGGGTATAAAGTGGTATCTCATTTTTAATTTTTTATAGTACTGGGATTGAACCCAGATCATTCATAGTGAGCTACACATTTGTCCCTTATTTATTTTGAGGCAGGATTTGCTAAGGTGCTAAATTTCCTAGGCTGGGATTCAACCTGAGATTCTCCTGCTTCAGTCTCCCAGAGTGCTAAAATTATATGTGTCTTTTTGCATTTTTCTAGTAATGAGTTTGAGCAGTACATTATTTACCTGCTATCATTTTCTCCACAAATGTAGTTTTCCTGGAGCCCTTTTATTCTGTTCATGTTTTTCCTCATGTCCATGTAGTGATCTAGAGATGCCAAATATATGTTTTGGTGGTGGTACTGAAGATGGAACTCAGTACATCACACATGTTAGGTCAACACTTAACCACTGAGCAACATTCCCAGCCCTTTTTCTTTTATTATATTGAGACAAGGTCTCTCTAAGTTGCCTGACTTGGCCCAAAATTATGATATTTCTCTCGAGTATCTGAGACTATGTTTGACCAACCACATCCAATTTGTACTGAAATTTTGATGGCTCCGTGTGTGTGAGTGTGTGTGTGGTCGGGGGGTACTGGGGATTGAACTCAGGACCTTGTGCATGCCAGACAGGCACTTATTCTGCTGAGCTATCTCCCCAGCCCTTGATGGCTCCTGTTGATCCTCAGTACATTGGAGATCAGAAGCACCACCTCACGTGCCAGGAACATTTGTCACCTTCTAAGTTTTGTCATACTCTCTCAGTGTTACTTCAGTGTTTTCTACTAGTCTTTTCTAAATCACTTGGAAGTTCTGACTGCTTTTCCTTTCTTTTCTTCCTTTTTTTGGGAAAATCTTATTTTGCCTTCTCAGTTCTTCTCAGTTCCTAAGTTCATCTTCACAATTCTCAGTGAGATCACTCAAAACCAGCTCCATATACTGTATTCTCCTACCTATCTACCACATGTGACAGTTTTTCCTGACTCTGACTCTCTATCCTGTGCCCTGTCTTTTCAGATGATACATGCTCTACCTTGTGAGCAAATTTCACCTGTCCCATGCAATGGCTCCTCCAGTTTGTGGCTCTGGGAATTAAACCCTGTATCTTACTCAGGCTAAGCACACACTGCCACTGAAGTATACCACACCCATGCCATTGGTCTCAATGACTGCAGCATATTGTGTATGGTTCTCTCTTTCTAATCTTTCATCTCAAGGAACTCAACACAAAGCATAGAAGTTTTGATTGAGGGGTAACTGAGGCTTTTACTTCTATTATTTTATTTTATTTTGCAGAACCGGGGATTGAACTCAGGCCTTTGCACTTGCCAGGGAAGCGCTTATTCCACTGAGCCATCTCCCCGGCCCCTTAACTTTTTTTTTCTTCTATTATTTTATTTTATTTATTTATTTTTGTACTTTTCATATTTTGTTTATTCTTTCAGGTTCTTACTTTAGTGAGACAATACAATGTTTGCACAGGCAAGTCCGATTTATTTCACTTACAAGTGTGGTCTCTAATTGCATCCTTTTGACTATAAAAGCCTGAGTTTATCTCTTTTATAGATGAGCAATATTCTATTGTGTAAAAATACGACATCTTTTTATCTTCTCCTCAGTTGATGGGCATTTGGATTATTTTAGAAAGACTTGAGGGATAAGAGCTTGTTTCTTTAAAAAATTATTAATTTTTAAATTGACAAATAAAAGTATATATATACTTATCACATACAACATATTTTGAAGTCCATATGGATTGAGTCTATTTTTTTTGAGACAGCATCTTTCTGCATAGTTTAGGCTGCCCTTGAACTCACCATGTATTCCAGGCTGACCTCAAACTTGCAGCAATCTTCCTGCCTCAGTCTCCCTTGTACTGGGATTACAGACATGTGCCACCATACCCGGCAAGTCCATTTCTTAGTATATGACTCAGGGTTTGATGAGGACAGATAAATTTCACACTAATGTGAATAAGGAAATTTTAACATAAATTTCTTCAGCTGGAATTCATGCACCTAAAATATTTAAATGGCAATGGAATACCCATCTCTAACAAAACTAAACAAAAAAAAGGGATATAAATGAAGGACTGTTTTGTATCTGTATATACAAAATAGGATAAATATACAGCTACTTTCTCTTAATTCAATGAGAAAAAAGATTTGTACTAATAGTGTTTGGACAGGATATCATGCCTGCATCTTGCACTGTGAATAGCTACTATGAAGACAACAATATGGAATGTATTAATTATTGTAACTGTCCTACTAACCTGTTTTGAACCTGTCTCATGGCTATTTGTTTTTCAATAAAATTAATAATAAAAAACAAAAAAGTTTCTTCAGCTATAGTGCAGTCAAAGTATTTGTGTGTTAGGTAGTAGAAAGACTTTCAAAAATAAAGTACTAGGAGACACAACACATGGCTAGTTCCTTTATGGCTGCATGGCACTCCATTTCTGTCATCATAACAAAATACTTGAGTCTGGGTAACTTATAAGGAGAAGGAGTTTATTTAGCACACAGTTTGGAAACTGAAAGTCCATGATCAAATCAGCTCATGGCTATGGCCTCTGGTGAGGGCCACCTTGGCTCATTTACCACATAGTGGATAGCATTATTGTGGAAGCATATTGGAGCAGAACTCCCTTGGCAAGACAGGAAGCCATAGAAAAATTGGGAAAGGATCATTCTTGCTTTTTATGACAATATCCTTTTAGAACTTAAGCAGGATCCCAAGAGATCCACATTCATACCTTTCAAGGTTACTTCTCCCAGTAACCCAGGCCTCTCCCACTAAATTGCACCTCTTAAACATCTACCACTTCTGAGCACCACCACACTGAGGTCCAAGGTTCCAACACATGAATCTTTTGGGAACCCACTTAGAGCAGATCCAAACCATAGCAGGCTGGATTGAGCATCCAGGGATAAGGCTCACCTACTTCCCTAGGCTGAGATGCTAACTTTGTTGAGAAGCTATAGCTATAGCTTATGGCACAGCAGAAGAGTTGCTATTGGGCCACGCTGCCAGAACTTACTGGAAATCTGCTTGACACATTGCAGGAAAAGTTCTTCATACAGAGATGTCTCACTGCAGGTAATTCTATAAAGAATCATCCCAGAGGAGCACGGAATAAGATACTCAGTGCTCAGTGCTGCTGGCTACAACGCAGTACGGTAGCTTAGAGCTGGAGAAGCTACTAGTGCTACAGGATCTAGGTGCTTGTGAAGTCTAAAGTTGCAGGACCTGGGTGCCAGAGAATCATTGATAGTATAGGAGCTGTGCTTAGAGAAGCCTCCCACACTCCGAAACTTGGATGCCAGGCATGCTGTGTGCGTGAGGAGGCAGATGACAAAGCCACCTCTGCTACAGGAGCCTGTTGCTAGACAAGAAGCCTTGGCTGGAGGAGCCTGCTAAGTGAGCCCATAGAACAAGAAAGCAAAGCCCCCTGCTCCTGCCATGCATCTATGGCGCCCTCTACTGACAAGATTTATCATTGTGCTGGCTGATAAAGGAAAAATAGCTAAGGAGATTCCAATCCATTGTTGGGCAGCAGATGAGAAAGGGTGAATTTAGAGCCAGAAAGCAATAAATTGATAATTTTTCAGAGTTATCAAAAGAAAGACAGAAAGATTGTAGTAAACGTAAGTTTATTGACTATGAGAAAAGGGAAGCAGATACTTTAATCTTTCTAGAAGAAATTTTGAACCATCTGTTCAGAGGAATTCAAATATCTGAACATTATATGTGAAAAGAGAGAAAAACAGGATGAAATATTAACAGTATTGAGTTTTGGGTATTAGTCCTTTCTGCTGTAACATGTAAACTATGTCAAATCAAGTGTAAACATGACCAATGTATTGCCTTCTTTATGAATTCATAGCAAACATAACTTCTCCAGAAGTGTACTGTGATTGGAGCTGGTGTCTAGGATAATGCATTGGAATAGGCACAGAAGACACAAATAACAACCCAAATATAGATGTATATCAGCTCCTATGTAAGAATTCTGACATGGATGGGTCCAGGTCAGCAGGTTAACTCTGATCTTCACAGGCCACTCAGGGACATTGCTCCAAGTCATTGCTTCAACTTTACCATCTCCTACGATATGGTTGTCAGTTGCACCCTTAGCCATGGATCACTGTGGGCTCCATGGGAAAAGGAGGAAAGAGAAGAGAGGTTTCCCCAGTGTCTTACAACATGCCTGGAAGCAGCACTTATTACCTCTTTTCACTTTCCTTTGGAAAGAACAAAGTGAGGCTGGCAAATGTAGACTCAGCCATATTCTGTTACTTCCAAAGAAGAGGAGAAGGGTTTTGAGTAGAAGATTTGCAGTTTCTGCCTCATATAGCTTTCCTTCTTCTGTTTTACTCTACCCGCTCCACCTAGCACCTCACATGCCCTACACTAGCATTCTATAATGGAATGATGTTCCCAGCCCTTTTCAGACTTTTATGTTTTAAAACGGTCTTGCTAAGGCTGGCCTTGGACTTGTTATTTCTTTTTTTAAAATTTTTTTAATTTTTTTTTGTGTGTGGCCAGCTCAGCCCACCAGGGGGCAGGGCTGGCTGGCATGTGGTGCTGGGGGATTGAACCGCGGTCCCCATGCTTTGCTGAGCTTGTTCTAAGTAGGTGCTCTAGACCACTGAGCCATCTCACCAGCCCCTGGACTTGTCATTTCTTTTGCCTCAGTCTCCCAAATAGCTAGGACTACAGATGTGTACCACTATATCTGGCTTTTTTGCACTTTTTGCTAAAATCATGGAACTCTTGATTCAACACAAGTTTGCTGAGAGTTACACACTTAGAGCACAGACATTTACTTGTAATAATTTTTCCACCAGTTTCCAGGAATTGGTTTGAGACATAGAAATGTAATGTGGATACTTATAATGATCCCAAGGAAAACGGAAGAGGAAATAGAGTTTGTCAAGGTTTCAAGCTGGTACATAATCAGCATGTACATTATGGAATATTGTGTCCATGTCCAACTTCCCCTTAATAGACTTCAGTTTCTTCTGATTACTTTTTATCCAGCTCTCCTACATAGCAGGATGAGATTTCTAGGATTCGAATTCCCTGTTTCCCAAATATAAGCAGTTGATCTTAAAGTTACATAACATCTTTGTGATTCTGTTTACTCATCTGTAAAACACAGATGAGCAGAAAATTGAGCTATAATCCAGGATATTCCAGAGGCTATGGTAGGAAGATGGCAAGTTCAAAGCTAGGCTGGACAACTTAGCAAGACCCCTGTCTTGAAAATTATGGCAGGTTGGCTGGGGATATTGTTCAGTGTAATAATCAGTTTACCTAGTATATATGGGTTTGATCCCTAGTACTGCAAAAAACCCAAATTAAACAGACAGACAGACAGACAGACAGACACACACACACACACACACACACACACACACTTGTGTGATCACAGAAGCTCCCTCATAGGGTGCAATGAAGAGTCAATGAACTACTTTGTGGAAAGCACTTGACATGGTCTCTGTTACCTTGTAGGTGATATACAACAATTCACATCTATTAAGTATCCTGGAAGAATTTTCTTTTACTATATTATTATTATACTGCTCTGTTTCCCTGTCTTCAGCCTGTTGAACTACACAGACCCCTCATCTTTTCTACTCATTCCATATGTCATTTTTATTTTTTGTGTTTTCTTTTTAGGTGAAGATATTGGGAAAAGTCAACAACAGGAAATTTCTGGAGAAGTTTCATTCCACAGTGAGAAACTTGATAGACACACAGAAATTGATTCCTTGTGTTCCATCTTAGAAGAACTGTGGCAAGAGCAAAATTAAACCTTTAAATCATATCAAAGCATTAATTAAGGAGAAAGGTTGTCAATGTCAAAACATTGAACAAATAATTCATTTGACTATTAAGTTTGTTCTTTTAATTAAGGCACTCAGTAACTGTGACACACTTGTAAAGAGTTTGAAACTTACTTTAAATTCATATAACCATAATAGAATCACTACAACAAAAAACCTTAATAAAGCTTCTGGAGATGGTAACAGTTGTCTTTCCTCTACAGAGAATGAGCATACAAACACAGGAGTGAGTTCCTGTGAATGCAGTCAGTGTAAAAAATCCCACAGTCACAAACAAGCTCGCATCCACTGACAGCAAAGTTATTTTGTGGAGAAACTTCATGTATGTACTGAATTTGAAAAGGACTTCACCCGGAAGTCACATCTCTTAGAACAAGAAAAAAATCATGCTGGAGAAAAATCCCATGAACACAACAAAAGTGAGAAAGTCTGCACTCTGAAGCCACAAGTTGAGCCCCATAACATTATTTATAGATATGAGAAGCCCTGTGTATGTCCTCAGTGTAGGAAGGTCTTTACTCTCAAGTCAAACCTCATTACTAATCAGAAAATCCATGCTGAGCAGAAACCCCACAAGTGCAGCCAATGTGGCAATGTGTTTTTCCAAAATTCAGATCTCTTCAGACATCTGAGGATTCATACAGGAGTAAAACCTTATCAGTGCAGTGAATGTGGAAAAGGCATCTCGCATGATTCAGACCTCAGTAACATCAGAAATCTCACACTGGGCAGAAACACTATGCCTTCAGAGAATGTGGGAAAGCATTCAGCAGAAAGTCAGCACTCTGGATGCATCAACAGACTCACACAGGAGAGAAACCGTATACATTCACTGAATGTGGAAAAGGCCTTCATCCAGAAGTCACACTTCAACACACATCAGCTAATTCACACTGGTGAAAAACCTTAGGAATATACTGAGTGTGGGAAATTATTCACCAAAAAGTCACAACTCCATGTGCATGACAGAAGTCACACAGGAGAGAAGCCTAATATATGTATAGAGTGTGGAAAGGTCTTTACTCATTGGACAAATCTTACTACACATCAGAAAACTCACACTGGAGAGAAACTCTATATGTGTGTGGAATGTGGGAAGGCTTTTACTGATCAGTCTAGTCTCATCAAACACCAGAAAACTCATATTAGAGAGAAACCCTATAAATGCAGTACTTGTGGAAAAGCCTTCATATGGAAGTCATGCCTCAAAATCCATCAAAAATCTCATATCAGAGAGAGACACTATGAATGCAAGCAATGTGGAAAAGCGTTCATCCAGAAATCAACACTAAGTATGCACCAGAGGATCCACATGGGAGAGAAACCCTATGTCTGTCCTAACTGTGGGGAGGTCCACATCAAGAAATCATACTTCATTGCACACCATAGGATTCATACTGGGGAGAAGCCATATGAATGCAGTGACCATCGAAAATGGTTTGCTGAGAAGTCACAGCTCCATGTGCATCAAAAAATTCACACAGGTGAGAAGCCCAGTGTTTGTACTGAATGCAGAAAGGCTTTTGCTGACCAATCCAATCTTATAACACACAAGAAAATTCATACTAAGGAGAAGCCCTATACCTGCAGTGACTGTGGTAAAACCTTCTCCTGGAAGTCATGCCTCAATGTGACTTCAGAAGTCCCACACTGGAGAAAGACACTATGAATGAAGCAAATGTGGGAAAGCGTTCATTCAGAAAACTACACTCAGTATGCATCAGGTCATTCATATAGGAAGGAAGCTGTACACTTGTGTAAAATGTCAGAAGGCCTTCACTAGCAGGTCAAATCTCATTAAACACCAGAAAATACACAGTGGAGAAAAACACTGTAATAACCTGGTGATTGAAATAACCTTCATGTAGCAGTTCCAGCCAAGTGTACATGAGTTATGCCTGAGAGGGGATGGGTAGTGCCAGGAACTGCAATCTCTGGGGGGAGGGGTGGGAGCAGGCATGAGAGGCTGTGGCTGGAGTGCACAGAAGACAAGTGAAGCCAAATGTCCTTCCACTGAGTAGAAAAACAAGTTCCAGTATCACCACAATTGACATACAGTTAAATACAGAGTGACTTTCAGATGAAGGACTTGAATAAATGGCAATGATCATGTTTGGCTACATAACTGATACAAAGACACTCAAACTCCTTCAAATTTTAAAAATAAAGACCTGAGGAAATGACTTGTCATCTCATGTTTCAATTCTCAAAAAATGGCTTATGAATACAGCACTGATTAGTTTTTTGTACCCTGCTGCATAAAAGTGCTCAACACTGGACAGAATTGTTTCACACTCCTTGGATGGGGAAGAGTTTGCATTGTCCAAGCACTTTCAGGGCCTAGAAGCCAAGGGCAAACATGCTTTGGAATGCAGATCTGATTAGAACTGAAGATTCTGGTGATTGTTGATATTTAAGTCAGAAAAGATTCCAAGGAATTTTTTTTTCTTCCCATGGGAAGTTACCATGTATATTCTTTTAAAAAGCGAAAAGAATTTTTGAACTTAAAATTTGACTTTATGAATTGAGGAGTTAGGCATGACTCTATCCTGCCACAACAACAGAGTTGCTAAAGGCAGAGAGACATCTAGAGGTGGCAGTAGTTTCCTTATTAATTCTTTGCTGATTAAAACTCTTCATGCCTTCTAACACGTGCCCTGGGTGCTATCATTTCTATGAGCCTCATAACACATGATTTGCTTCCAAGTGACTAATACGAAAATAATAAAAGTGTACTGTGTTCTGGACAGTCCACAGGACTCAGGTGAGCCGTGTCCCTTGACATGCAGCACACAGGCATGGAGCTTGTGCTGGTGTGGGTCCAGCCTTTTAAGAACTTTGGGGGACTCTGGGTGGCCCACAGGACTCTGGTGAGCTGTTGATCTGTGGGCCCAGTGTGCCCAGGTAAGGAGCTTTCCTGGCACCTGGTCCAACTATTTAAGAACTTTGGAGGACTCTTGGTGGCCTGCAGGACTCTGGTGAGCTGCATGCCTTGGCACAGAACTTGTGTGAGCACTGGTCCAAACTTTTAAAACATTTAGGAGGAGTCTGGGCAGCCAAGGGGATCCTGGTGAATCTGGCCTATAGGTACCACTTGCACTGAAACTCTGATGAATATCAGCCAGTCACCCCAGCTAGTAGTGAGAGCATTGGTGAGGCCTACCCTGCTCCCCAGAAGCTCAACTGACTCAGGCCCCACTGCCCTCCCTCCACTGCTAACTCTGGATGATTACTGGGAACATCAAAAATGCCAAAATGCAGGAGCAAAAGGCAATTCAATCCTCCAGCCCACCCACCACAACAAATCCAGGAGACAAAGACATACAAAAACTTATAAATCATACACCTGAAATTTCTGAAATTATAGCAACTGAAGTAAAGAAACAACTGCATCAGACTATAGAAGAAATAAGATCAGAAATAATCTCTTAGGTCAAAAAAGAAATGACAATAATTATGAAAGAATTGCTCAGCACAGCTAAAGAAGACATAGATTTAAAAAATAGAGAATAGAAAAATAATGGAAACACTGAACAATACAGGAAAGAATTCAAATGCATGAAACAGATATGCAGGAAATCAAGAATTTCATTGAAAGCTGGCAAAACTGCTTGAATGAAACGAAAGATAAATTCTCAGATCTCAAGGACAGCCGTGCAGGATTATATTAGCTGTTGGGTTTTCATAAATGGCTTTTACCAGATTGAAGTAGAGGCCATCTATTCCAATTTTCTGTAGGACTTTGAACACAAATGAGTGTTGGACTTTGTCAAAAGCCTTTTCTCCATCAATGGAGATGGTCATGTGGTTTTAGGTTTCGCTCTATTGATATAGTGTATTACATTTATTGATTTTTGAATATTGAACCATCCTTGAATCCCTGGGATGAATCCTACCTGGTCATGGTGTATGATCTTCTTGATGATTTTCTGTATTCTATTTGCTAGGATATTATTGAAGATTTTAGCATCAATGTTCATGAGGGAAATCGGCCTTTAGTTTTCTTTCTTAGGTGCATCCTTCCCTGGTTTTGGTATCAGTATAATACTTGCCTCCAGGAATGATTTTGGGAGAATTGCTTCCTTTTCAATTTCATGGAAGAGTTTGAGGAGTAAACTGACTACATTTTTTTTACATTTATTTATTGTGTGTGTGTGTGTGTGTGGCCAGATCAGCCCACCAGGGGGCGCGGCTGGCTGGCATGTGGTGTTGGGGGATCGAACCGCGGTCCCTGTGCTTTGCCAAGCTTGTTCCAAGTAGGTGCTTTAGACCACTGAGCCATCTCTCCAGCCCCTACATCTTCTTGAAATGTCTTGTATAATTCAGCTTTGAATCCATCCAGACCTGGACTTTTCTTTGCCGGTAAGTTTTTGTTTTGTTTTGTTTTTGCAGAACCAGGGATTGAACTCAGGCCCTTGCACTTGCCAGGGAAGTGCTTATTCCACTGAGCCATCTCCCTGGCCCCTGCCGGTAGGTTTTTAATTACATCTCGTATTTTATTGGCTGTTATTGGGCTATTGAGAATGGTTATATCTTGTCAGTTCAGTTGTGGTAATTTGTACCTTTCTAGGAATCTGACCATTTCTTCTGTGACTTCTATTCTGTGAGAGTAAAGATTCTCAAAGTAGCTATTGATAATCTTCTGAATTTCCACTGAGTCTGTGGTACTTACACCCTTTACATTCCTTATTGCTTGCATTTGAAATTTTTCTTTCCTCTTTTTGATGAGGTTAGCTAGGGGCTTATCGATTTTATTTAATCTTTCAAGAATCAGCTTTTTGCTTTTTTAATTCTTTGAATTGTTTTCTTTGTCTCAATTGAATTAATTTCTGCTCTAATCTTTATGATTTCCTCCCATCTTTGGGCTCTGGGTTTGGTTTGCTTTTCCTTTTCTAGTTCTTGAAGGTGCAGCATTAGGGTATTTATTTGTTCCCGTTCTGTTTTCCTAATATGTGAATTCACACCTATGAATTTCCCTCTGAGAACTGCTTTCATCGTGTCCCATAAATTCCGATAAGTTGTGCTTGAATTTTTATTGAATTGTAGATATTGTTGAATTTCTTTTTTAATTTCATCTGTGACCCATTGGTTGCTGAGTAGGGTTTCATTTAATTTGCATGTATTTATGTTTTTTTTTCTTGTTTCTTTTGTCATTTATTTCCAGTTTCATTACACTGTGGTCAGATCATGTACATGGGATAATTTCTGTTTTCTT